TGTGATTGATTTTTAAGAAGGGTTGGAACATCCCGGCGATGTATGTGGCGCGGTGCAGTCGGGGTGACGATTAACAGCAACTTTTGGCCTCCTCAGCGTCGCCATTCGCCATAGGGTTACTTGGTGCCATGATGGATCGCAGGTGTGGATGCGCAGGCCCGCCATTCGGGTAATTCGCTGATCTTAATGGCTATTGCGCCAAGACGAAGGAGAAAAGGCATTTGATGTTAATCCAGATGGAGGCTCCTCCCTTCCCGTGCAGCATGAGAACCTCTCGCAACGAGTCGTGTGCGCCGCTGCTGAGCCATTGCAGCTACAAGGAATGTTGCATCGGGATATCTTCATCGGAAATTCTTGAGTGCCAGACAAGTCCTAATAAACGAGGGGGGGAGGGGGCGCCCCCGCTCCTCCAAGACAAAGATTGTGAAGGATTTCCCAGGAAGGTATTGTCGCAGGCTGAGGCCACAGCCATGTGCTGATGACAATAACAATGACAGACTCACGCTCGCCCACAGCCCATCGACGAGCCTCCCTTGCCAACCTGCGGTGTTTTCTCTCGCCCACATTAACATAGACCATCGCACGCACGCCCTCCGGCCGCCGCAGAGGACGACACGCGCGCTCATGTTACTCATGCACGGCTGGTTGCCCCAATCACTGCAACATGCAGCCGTGCCGAGGGAAACAATCACAGGACAAACAAACACACGCACAAATACAGGGAACTCTTGCACGTCGCGGACCCTCCCCCCCACCCCCCTCCCGGGACCCCGCTAGTACGCCTTCCTCGGCCGCTACAACCTCGATAGAGCGACGCCCGCGGAGACAATGCGTGGCCTCGCCATAAGCGGGAGTTATTGATTCTAACTCATATAGTCTAGGCGGCCGCGGGGAGCTGTCTCCAAAATCCTGTAACAATACAAGAGCTCGTCCGGGCAGCCAGCCACGGTGCGGGGAGGGGGGGAGGGGGGCGGCGGCACAGGAGCCTCGCCTGGCTTGG